ATCTAGAACAAGAGAGTAAAAACGAATTATATTTTTATTAAGCACTATCAGGACGAAATCGCGGGCAAAAGCTAGTGTTTCAATAAAAATTGGTTCAGTAGTTTAGGCTTAAAAATAAAAACCACCTAGTTACTATTGCATTTATAATTCTAATACAAATTCGTCAATTAAGGGGATTAGTATAAAGCGTTTCATGTTTGTACTGCGGTGTTTTGCTGTTTAGTGCTGGATGAAATCTTAATGAACCGCTTTATCATTACCAATTCGTTTAAGCGCTTTGTACGCTCTGCGGTGCGCTGCCCAAAGAAGCAAATAATACCTCAGTGAAAGAAAATATTTTTCATTCTCGTCTATCGCAGAGCAACGCGAGTATTATCGATCATTCCGGCGAGGCCTTTGGTGTCGGCGATGTGGCCGGTTAAGCTCTTCGCTTCGATGCCGTGGTTCCGGCCAAGTTCCTGAGCGCATAATTCATTCATTCGGCTGGGTGCGCGAATGCGCCGGCAGCATCGAGGAAAGTTATAGTCGAGCGACGCGAATTTAATTCCCACCGACCGCATTTTTCGACGCGAATTAATATCCGCGAAGGAGCCGAGGTGCTATAACCGCCTCCGTGTCGCATTAAACTTTACGTCCTCCCGTTGTAATTCGTTTTCTGCGGATTGCAGCAAAAAGATGCTTGTTTAGCAATGGCGCTGCGTTTATTTTAATGTTTTACATAAATGGCTCCTTGCTTAACCTAGAAATTTACTTCGACGAACAAAAATCTAATTACGTTTCACATTTAGCTTAATATAAAGTAAGCTTATAAAAAGTAATCATATTTAACGCCGTTATAACATTACTAAGCGAAAGCCTTGCATCACTGCTTCGAATTTCCCACATTCCATTTGTGGTGAGTATTGCGACCACAAGACCACGTAGGGAGCAAGTCTTAATGAATGCAAAAACGCTTCCTCAACCTCGTTCCACATCATGGCCGGATAGCGCATCCAGTTGGCTTTTGCGGTGTGGAACTTTAATCCGCCACAAACACCAGCAGACGAAATCGAAGCCAGAAGTTGGCGTAAAAGTTAGGAGGTATTGCTGGAGTTGGAGTTGTGCAATGTTGGAAGGATTGAGAGCATTTGTTCGGAGCACAACTCGGTCAAAGATTGCAAAGATGCGCGCCGCCGTTATTGAAGCGTGTGGGTGTGTTCGTTGTGGGTGGAAGGTAGTGGCGGTACTAATACTGAATTTAATTAGAGAGGACGCGCGAACCTCATCGAGTTACGTGCCAGGACCTTTTGCGAACCTCTTCAAACTCGTCGCGTAACACGATCCATAACAATTTATAATCAAATCAAGCAAGCGCTTGTGATTATCTCCTTGCAGGCAATTGCTCTTATAAATTTTGTAAAATATCTTTCATTAACTCGAGTAGATTTATATCAAAAGAAGACCTATATTAGTAACTAGCTTTTGCTCGCGACTTCGTCCTAGTAGTGTTTAATAAAAATGTAATTCGTTTTTACTCTCTTGTTCTAGACATTGTATGTGTCAATTCTATCAATAAGATTCGCAATTTTATTTTAAAGAAATTAATTATATAAAGAATGGCTAGTAATGCACTTCAGCGCGCCATCTCGGATTCAACTATTTAACTATAACTATGATTGAATCTCAATGCCAACTTTTATCCTATAGAAAAAGACGGTTTTTAGGGTTTTCCCGGCAATTATTTGAATTTTTCTCGTCGTAAAAACCATCCTTGGACTTTAGCGAACATTTAAAAAAAAGAATTGGGCAAATTGATGTAAGCATTATTGAGTTATGCGCTTACCAACACATTTTGCGTTCATTTTTATATTATAGATATAAATTTCTTAATTTGGTTATCTTTAAAGTCCATGAAATAAATTAAAAATATGTTTGCTTGATTTTTTGTCCACGTGTCGATATAAAATCTACAAAGTTAGATTCCGATATCTTAATGGAATTAAACGCAAAGAAGTGAATATTTTCTCGCGCTCGACGCTCACGTTTGATTTATGTTTGCTCTCAGAGTCGTGAACGCAGCGCGGAGTCGATGAAAGCGTGTGAAAAGTGGGAAAAAACCAACTTTCGTAAAGAAATCGGCGTAAATTTCTCCCGATTGAAATTTCCTCGGCTATTTTCATACCGCTTGGCCTCGCATTCCCTCAGTGGCGCTTTTCCGTTCAAAGTAATTCGAGCAAAAAAGGAGAATCGAACTCGGTGACGAACGAAAAGTGAGTAGGTATCGAAACGGCTCGTGCGCGCACTTAAAGTAAATTCTGCAGCGTTGCTTTGCGACGATGGCTGTTCATGCAGCGACTGCGATGCAGCACCAAGGTTGTTGTTCAAGTAGATATGATATTATAATACAATGAGGAAAGTTAGAAGCGCGATTTACTTGTCGTTCAGTGTTGACATTAATTGAACGATGTCGAGAAGTGCCGATAGATGTGTAGATAGGTTGAGTACTTGTTTAACAGTACTTGAAATCTACATTACCTACATTGTAATTAGTAAGTTTTAATTAACTTTATAGAGTATACACGTTTATTTTTATTTAAAAAACTAGCTTCTGCCCACGACTTCGTCCCGATAGTGTTTAATAAAAATGTAATTCGTTTTTACTCTCTTGTTCTAGACATGTGTCAATTCTATCAATAAGATTAATTATATAAAAAAGTGCTAATAATGCACTTCAGCGCGCCATCTCGGATTCAACTATTTAACTATAACTATGATTGAATCTCAATGCCAACTTTTATTCTATAGAAAAGAGCTGTTTTTGGGGTTTTCTCGGCAATTATTTGAATTTCTTCGCCGTAGAAACCATCCTTGGACTTTAACGAACATTTTAAAAAAAGAATTGGCCTAATTGGTCAAGGCGTTGTTGAGTTATGCGCTTACCAACAGATTTTGCGATTTATTTTTATATTATAGACTTTGAGTTTAAATAAACGTGGTACCTATTTAAACTAAAATAACACATTACGAGTATCTATGTGCGTAATTTTATTTTTGATCACATTACTCGAAAATATTCCTTTTCAGTTTATTTAAATTGACTATTTAGTTGAACATTATTTGATGTTTTTGCTCTATTTTAAACAATGATGGCTTTTCCAACAAATAAGTCAAATTGCAAAGCTCAATATTGTATTTCAACAAATAATCTCTTTGTTTTACATTCCAATTACATGTAACTTTTATATTATTTAGTACTTGATTCAAAAATAACTTTGATCTCAGCACATTTTCAAGCTAAAAGTCCCGTGTTATAACGCACACAATTCTCTTTTTTTTGCTTAAATAAACTCCTTTATTAATTCAAACGATAATAGTAGAAGGCGTCAAATCGAAGCCTTGCCATTATGTACAGTTAATAGCCGCTTTGGAAAAGCCCAAGAAATCATTATTAAGCGCCGGCGATGAAACTTTTACGCCTTTCATTTCTCATTTCTCGTTGTGCGTTGCGCGTTTTACGTTTGCATTCGTCCGCAGTGTTTGCTCAACGATTACCGCGTCGGTTGCGTGGGTCGTCATCGCGAGCTTACTGCGAAAAGTGTAATTATGTTATTCGCAATAAAAGTCTCCCGTCCTATTTATTTACCACAATTATTTGCATAAATTTCAACGCTACCACCATTATAATAATATAATACATGTATTTTCAAGGTGTAAAGGAACACTATTTGAATTTACACGTAAATAACAATAGCAACACCTCATAGGTGCAACATTGTAATTGTGCAGCCTAAATACATATCGAGATTAGGAATGCGTTGATAAATTAACACGTCGAATGCCGAATGCAATTTGATTGGAACGCAATATTGTTGATGATGATCCAGTGTATTTGCGTTTAGAGTTTGAATACATGCAAGAGTGCACACCTAATATGCTGCAGATTCAAAGCGTTTAGTTCACAGCTGAAAGCTCAAAGGTTAATATGCCTAAAGTGCTATTTTGGTCATGCATTCAGTGTAATAGAAACGTACAAATTACACAATGTGATATTAAACTCTTAAGCGATAATACTAAATACTAAAATTAAAAAATTACAAAATAACGATGATTTTCTAAATAATTTGAGCACAAGTTAGAAATTTGCATTTATCACAATGTAACAATATTATTGCATGCGTTATTATTATCTTTGTGGGTCTACTGCTGTTGCTTTTGCTGATTGTAGCCTGTTGTAACGCGCAAAATCAATATTGTTCTCTAGAATCAAGCACAGGAATATCCCAAACTATAGTGTCAACGTCGTGCGAATAAATTGCGCAAAATACGCTCGCCTCGTGCGAGTTACTCGCGAAAATATGTTAAAAAGCAACGTTTCTTATTATTTTAGGCGCCTGAAAGCTTCCGAAATAACAAGAACCGACACCAGCAACACAGCGAAAGCTGAAAATTCAATTTGTTGTAAATTTGCGCAAATTGGATGAGTTTTCGAATACCATAACATTACACATTACGTACTGGTGCTGGTAAACAATAAACAATGTTACGGTGTGAAAGTTTTTTAAACAATTTAACTTTGCCCAAATTCAATTTTATTTACTGCCAACCACGCTTTTTTTGTTTGTAAAGACAATACTCGTATAAGAGTCAAACATATTCGTTTTTTTACTTTTGTTACCTGAAAGGTCATAAGTTTTATCAAAAGAATAATAAAAAAGAAGCAGAAGCAAAGGAATAAGTAAATGTCTAAACACATACAGTATTATTCGTCTTTTTTTGTATCTGCGCTGCTCTTATTTTCATGTTTTCCTGTAACGTGTCTCGCTTTTCGTTTCCGTGCCGGCTGCGTCTCATTCACATTCAGATTCGTATTCGCCACGCTATTCCGAAAGCGATTTGCTGCTTTTACGACACGCGGAAAACGAGCACACGCTGCCCCCGCTCAAGGCCTGAGGTTGCCACATCGGGTTACTTTTATTTTTTATCGAGAAAAGTAGCAAAAGTAAGCAAAGAGCCGTCGACGACGGCTTGCAGCGCAACGTGTGTGAATCGGAAAAAAGCTTCCTGAATAAAACGCTTAAAAAAAGGTTATGGCCAAGTCTAACAAGATATCCTAGCTATGTACCGCACACCGGAAATAGGAATCGATTAGAGAGGCTTATAATGCAAGGTAATTCTATATGGATAGATAGTTAAGGTATAATTTAGTCAAAAATAAACTGCTATCATCATCACGCAATTATTTACTTCATGGCTTCATTTTGTTAGGCAAACAAGACACTTTTAACTGGAAATATATACGTTTTATTACCAACACTATACAGGAACTAACCTAAATGTAATACTATCACATAATCTAACTTTTACGTTTAACTCACAGGTCCATAATTGTAAACTCATCGTAACCTCAAAACCGAGGGATTAATAAATGTCTAATGTAGGTATATCTATAATATAAAAATAAATCGCAAAGTCTGTTGGTAAGCGCATAACTCAACAGCGCCTAAACCAATTTCGCCAATTCTTTTTTTTTAATGTTCGTTAAAGTCCAAGGATGGTTTTTACGCCGAGAAAAATTCGAATAATTGCGGGGAAACCCTAAAGACAGCTCTTTTCTATAGGATAAAAGTTGCCATTAAGATTCAATCATAGTTATATTTAAATATTTGAATCCGAGATGGCGCGCTGAAGTGCACGTAATATTATATAGCAAAGTATAAAATTCAAAACATGCGCTCGTAAGTTGATAATATTATAATCTCACATTGCGCATATTTGGCAACAGCGCGTTTATTTCGCCGATTTGTTCGCCAGCCACGTTTCGCACTCCAGCGTTTTGTTTTTATTATCTATTATCGTCGCAGCCTTCAACTCGAATCCAACGTTAAATAATTTATTCAATGAGTTCCGAAAATTTAAATAAGCCCCGAAGGAAGTTAATTATATTACAATGTACCTCTGAGAGCGATATTTTTTTTTCATACTGATTAGAGTCGAAACAAAGCAAGCAAAACAAAATTCATTCAATACAATGGAAATCAAGGCTAATCAAGCTTTCAATAAAGTCTTTTTAAATTGATTTTAATTTATTATGATAAACTGGACCTATTGATGTTTTGCTGGTCGTTTTTATAGAAAAAAACGTGTCTTTTTAAAAGTATAGGTATGGTATGTATTGAAATGCGTCTCTTCGATCAAATAATCTAAAAATAAATAATGATAAAGTTATTTCCAGTGCGAGGCGCACTTTGAGCGGAAAGCCGCACACAGAAAACGCAATTCTTGGCAGCGTACGCAGACTTTGTGGAGCTGCCTCCGACGAATGCTTCTACATTATTTTCCGACAAGTCAATTTTCCACCCGGAGCACAGCGGCACATTCATCCCAACTTTGGAAACATCAGTAGTCAAAGCATTAATTCTATTCTTTCTATTTATTACTTGAAATTTGTTAAATATAAGCGATTGAGTTGCGGTATAAGTGTTGAGCACATGAAATTTATCATGTGTGCGAAAATGTCGATAAAATTTTGTTGGTTTAATTATTTTTCGTTTTGTTCACCAAAATTAATAATTTCATAGTAGATATTTTTGTAGCCAGTGGGAGATCAAAAATTATGTAAATTTTAGGCAAATTATTCAAGTCACGCTCGTTTTATTTTTATTATCTATTGGGAAAACCGTGGTAATTATTTAAATGAGTACCTGTTACCAAATTGAATAAAACCGGGTACGACTAGTAATTAAAAAGTCAATATTTTCATATTAAAAATTTAAAAAAAACTTTTAAAACTAATTTTCTATAAAATGAATAAAAAAATATTTAGGATATTAATATAAAGAAGCTACGTATTAAAAATCCAATTTAACTCTATGATTTTAATTAAAATCGGATTAAATATATACACTCAAGATTTCAGGCAGGGTGAAAACGAGGTTATGTAATGAAATGTCTCATCGCCGCAACTTCGTACCTGCACTACCGAAGAATATTAATTAACGTAATGCGGAAACGTTGCGACTGCTCGGTCGTGCAACCAACCTCAACACCAAGAACAACAAACAACAAGCGCCGCCACCGACTGGACTCTGAATCGGTAATGTATCAGTATTACGTTGCGAGTTACGTGTAATTATTACCAACAAACTTTCACACTTTAAACTTTCAATGGTGAAATATTTTGTTTGGTATTTTTATATGAAACTTGAGTAAATTTATAAGTTTAAAAAACTGGATTTGTTGAATTGTTGAATTTTAGAATGCTGGACGTCCCAACGTCGAGAGCAACAAACGTCGCATGAATAAGAAATGCACGGAATGCGAAATTTATATACCGGTGGTGTTAGCCCACTCGACTCGGGGATCAGTTGAGACTTTTCCGGATGCCAGCAAACACTATCGCATATTCTAGCGCCAGTTTACCGCCGCCGGCCATGTTCTTTATGTTGGATCAACAAACTCCACTCTAAAATGTCGCAAACGATATTTTTCTACAAACTAAAAATATTTCACATAATTTTTATATTCATTTGTGATTCACTTTAATGAATTGCATATTCATTTGCATTTACATTCTTTATTTGTCCGCTGACTGAAACTGTGAGTTTTGCGAGAGTAAAAAAAGTCGTAAGTGATTGATGATAACGCATTCATTTTCGGTTAGTTTTTTTCCGGGATGTGTTCCTGCTTACGTGTCAAGCACTAAAAATAATGACAAACTGTGCTTAACGCTGCATAAATACTCCCCAATAATAAAAATGCAAATTCTCAACTTTTGCGATGTATAAATATCCGGTATCTTAAACATCGAATAGAAAACTGCGGAAAATTGAAAACAAATTTATTCATTCAGAAATGAATGGCCAAGAAACATCACAATACCCACGTTATATTTGCAATTCATGCGAGCGAAAAAAAAAACATATACAAGAGAAAAGTTCAAGGTGAAATGCTACTTAATTTATTACGTTATGTTATGTTTCGCGCCAAATACGAAACGCAAAGTGCGCGAAACGAGCAGCGAGACGTGAGCGCCGAATGGCGAATCGCGGAGATCGATAATTTCGGGTTGTACTACGTACAGCTGCCTGCCAAAAGCAACCAGCCACCGGCTAGCATGTGATATGTATGCTATGCTCCTTTATTCCGCCACCACTACCGCCGTTGCCACAGCCGTCGCCCCCGAAAACGAGTGTAAAGTGCAACTGATAGCACTGTTCACAACTATTTCCTCCGGGGCTCCACCGGGGTTGGAGTTGAAGCCAGTCATCAAACTCTTCGACAGCCCAAGAGTCAAAAGTTAATTTTAATGTATTCGAAATAATTTCGTGCATGCAACCGATGTTAAATATTTGTCAGCGCAAATATTTACTATGTCAAAATATAAACTGGTTGTAGGTGAAACTATGACAAATATGAGGCACGCGCGTGGCGCGCATGGCACTCGTTCGAATTGCGCGTGGCGGTGATACAGTGATAATAAACGAGATTAACGTAAACCGCCGGAGGCGCGCGCGTGCAAAGCGCCATCGTCGGATTGTCGTTGTACGAGTACTCGACGGCGTCACTGCCGTTTCGACATCCTGCGCGTACGAAACCGCAAATATGTCACATGCAAATTTGGCCCGAAACGTCGCGCGAAACTTATTAGCCTAGTCGTGTACAATGCCCAGCGATGATTTTATCACAACGTGTATGTGTGTTGATATGCATCGATCGCTGCATTATGCAGCGTGGAAACAGCGTGCGGATACTAAGTGCTTTTCGACATACGCACGAATTTAGGCATTTTCACGAGAACATCAATCATTATATATTTTTGCATAGATTTTATCAGCCTGTCAACAAAATTCTGATAAACTGGGAAATTATTAATTTTCTAGTATTTATAGTAATGAAGTTAGGTTATATTGGAAAAATTATAATTTAAATTTTTTTTTAATTTTTAACTTTATAGCACTAGTTTTTCACGGTTTTGAGACACAAAAAGTGGTACTTTAAACACGGATTGCTAAAGCCGTGACTAAAGCACTTTAATCACGAGCTTTAGTCGCGGGGAGGAGTTTACGCTTACGCAGTTGCCTACGGTGCAGCACAAGATCATAGAAATTGCCATGCGCCGTCAGTCAAAAAAAAAAAAAATGCCTTCTAATTATTCGAGTTGATTCAAGATATGATCAAATTATAACGAAACCAATTATCAATTTAATTTTACTTCGATAAAAACTAAATCAAATATTTTTTTAACTTGATTGTCTAAATTAATAGGCCAAGTTAAGCTACCTAAATACCTATATAACTTAGCCAAACTAAGGGGGTTCACTAAGAGTCGAATTAAATTTCGGCGAGTCGAACTCCGGCGCGAATCATTATAATCGCGTTTAATCCGGCCGCCGGCGCGCCGCCGACGTTCCGTTTAACGAGATGAGAGTTTCACGACTGTGCGCGCCACGAGACGTCTACTTCGGTCTCGCGATAAGATTACAAACGCGCGCGGAATCTTCTCGCTGCCGCCCATCGCCGCCCATCACAGCACCTCCATCACCTTTAGGCTTTTGGTTTGTAGATTTATACAGCACGCCGGCGACAAGCGAGACTTTACTGTTGGGGTAATCAAAATTAAAGATATCGGATCTTGATACAGAATTCACGAGCTTTACCTTCAAAATCGGATTCGTTAAGATAAATAACTTATGATGAAAATAATATTGTTTGAAGGCCTATAGCTTTAATGTATACAACCAGTCATACATAATTGTATCTATAATATAAAAATGAATCGAAAAATCTGTTGGTAAGCGCATAACTCAACAACGCTTAGACCAATTTGACCAATTCTTTTTTTTTAAAGTTTGATTAAGTCCAAGGATGGTTTTTACGGCGAGAAAATTTTAAATAATTGTCGGGAAAACCCTAAAGACAGCTTTTCTATAGGAGAAAAGTTGGCATTGAGCTTCAATCATAGTTATAGTTAATTAGTTGAATCCGAGATGGCGTGCTTCAGTGCATTATTTGTAATTTTTAAATAATTAATTTCTTTAAAATAAAATTACGAATCTTGATAGAATTGACACATAGTATGTCAAGACAAGAGAGTAAAAACGAATTACATTTTTATTAAACACTACCGGGACGAAGTCGCAGGCAAAAACTAGTCCTGAATATTTTTAGATTTTTGAGGTTAGATCTGTTGTAATGACTAGGAAACGTAAATTATGTTTATTCTAAGTTTATAATGTTTCTCCCTCAACTATCCTCTTCTGAATATTTTATCGTATCGAATTATTTCTAATAATGGTGTTTATCATACAACTCAGTGAGTGAAAAGACTATTATTAGCTACAATGAATTATGCAAATATCAATTTCAAATTGCAAGCGTGCAACAATGCGATTTCAATTTACAAACCGGTATTATTATTATTATGATTATTATTATAACGCATATTAGGTTGCGCTTTATGTGCTCGTCGCAGGCTTACACCGACATGTCGTTCATTGTGCTGCGAACGATACGAACGATATTCGCATATTTGCTTACACTCTCACCCAGCGGAAAATATACGTTAATTTATAACAGCACACATATACGCACTGATGCACCGTAACGTACACAATGTAATACAAAATAAAATTTAATCATTGTTGGCTTGTAGGTACGACTATGCAGCAGGTAATGCTAGACAAAAAACCCATTGCTGAAGATATTTGCATATTTCATATCGCATATATTGAACGCTATGTACAAAGTAGCATTAATTTGATGAGCGAATTACGTGCACGCTAACGATAAAATCCACCGGAATTTTAACATCCGGAAAATCCATGTGCTTAAATGCATTTATATTATCTGACAAGTTGCGAACGCTCTTACATAGCGCAACAATGGTAATTCAATTGTTTTAGTTATTAACTAATCATTCAAAAACTATTTGTGTTACAACCATAAAATAAACAGATATATAGTTTTAAATATATTTTACATTTATTAGAGTATTTATTTTGTGGGTTTTGCGAATCTATAAAGAGCTTATAAGCTTTTAAAATTGAATTTTATAAAAAATTTGTTTATAACTTTTGTAAAAACAGTATTTTTGTTAAAATCTCTGTATATATTTGTTCAGAATTTAATAATTATTATAATTCTAAAGAACTAATTCATATATCTTTAATTGTTTTTGAGTAATTTATGAAAAACTATTGCGTTTCAAACAGTTTTAAAGCTATCTCGAGTAGCGTGCGATTAAATGTGTGAAAGCATTATTATTTATTCATAATTATAAAAGTTTGCATGTTGTAATAATAAATCTATTATTAATATCACCGGAAATAACTTTGTCATTTCATTAATCAATACTTTTGGTATTAAGAATACTAGATTGAAATTTATAAATAATTAAAGTTGAATAAAATAAAATAATTTGATTTAAACAAATTAAAGTTATTAATGGAATAAATAATAAATATAATTATAATTTTAATTATTAATAAAAACTATAATGTTTATTGCACCAATGTTTTTTGCTCTAAATAAAGCACCGACTTAAATTTCATCAATTCAGAACCGTATAAAATTTACTTTCTACGTTTTCCAAAAAGTTTTATTGCACACCAGCAAGTTTCATCTTCTGAAAAAATGCTTCCCCAACTCCAACAGTTCGTTACACTCGTAAACTCCTCAAAAGTTTGCTTTCCTCTTGTGTAAAAATAAAACTTCTAACATTTTCCTTGCTCGAATTGAATTAAATCTAGCAAATTTACATTTTTCAGCACACAAATGAATTTATTTGTACGTATGCCGCAGATTGTTGACTGGCGAACGCAATTTCACTCAATCACAGCTCAGCTAAATCAAGCTCGAGTCGTGCGCATGTTGAGTCCTTTAATTTCGCATCGAATTGCGCGTAGTAAATCGTACATGGAAGCGTACAACACATACCACATTACACATGTGCATCATATCGTAATATCATCTGGTAATTCGATTTCGGCCTCGATGCCAACCTGTCGTTTGACAATTATCGGTGGGTTGCGTTTAATCAAGTTATTTATCTCGATATGCACGTGCGCGAGGCTCCAGCAGCGCGGTATTGATTTATCATTAAGAATGCACGCTGTCTCGTCGCTTCCGATTTTCAGGACGAAAAGGGGGCACGTGCGCCACTATCAACTCGTTTCGGCGTGTTTCGAGTATTTTCCGCCAATTTCATGTCATGTCATCTATAATATCTGCACATCTACAGGCTATGCGTGTTTGAAACTTCATGAAAGTTATGAAATTTATAAGAATCGCTAAGTTTAAAAACTTCACAGACCTATTAATCATTGTCGGGTCCCCAATGCCAATTAATCAATCCTGGCAGGACTTAATAATAACCTTTTTTATATAAAAGAGGTGAAAGTGTCCCAAGAACAGATTTAAAAATAAATATCGATTAATAGGAAAGTGATTAGTTATTATTTATGCATGTAGTTTGATCGTTTGATTTTGATGTGTTGCATTCTTGCACAATTTTGTAAATTTACTTTCATACACATACACAGAGATGAAAGTTTTATGAGGTCTACACGGACGCGGTATTTCTGACCGTTGTGACGTCAATATCAATATTCGATTATT